AGTGTTCCAGTAATAGCGATTTTCTTCTTACAAAAGGTACCGTGAGGAACTTTTAACTGGTAATGAAACAGTCTGAATTTAATACTGATCTCTATATGACCTACATAAATAAAAAAAGGCCGTCAGTGAGAAGAATGGCTATTTCTGTATAGATATTCTTAAAGCTTGTCATCAGTGCCACCAGGTCAGAGTCCACACAAAAAGCTAGACTCCTTCAGCTCAGACTCCAGTGGGCCCACCATGGACCACGTCCGACCTGCAGTCGAAAGCTCTGGTGGGACCCCATTGGAGCCACAGTGCTGGAGACCCAGGCCCTATTGTTGGGCCCGCTGGAAGGAAGGTTAGCACGGGAGAACCTGGTGTAAGGCGCACGCCACAAAATGGTGTAATCACGGCCGGCACGAGGGGCACGCAGTGGTCACGGCGCTTGGTCGTGCATCTCTGAATTTTTGTAACTTAGCATGCGCTATCACGTGACTGTGCCAAATAGTTCACTGATAAAAGCACTGTTTACATGTCAAGGAAACTACAAAGATACTTTCGAAACAGGTGGACTTAAAAATCTTCATTTGACTAAATATTTTGCAGCCAAATCAAATTCTTTACAGGATATTCAACCTTCGTTTCTTTATAATAAAATGAATACTTGACTTCTTTGTTTACAGGATTTGTATAAAGGCAATATGAGATATGAGTTTACAGATAATTACAATCCCTCCTCGGCATTGTGGAAGTTGGTTTAGGGCTTTTTGCTGGTTACACCTACACTCTATGGGCATATCTATGAGTTACACTCTGTGTGCGTTTTATTTGTTAAAGTTAGTTTTGTTTGTAGGCCCTCTGATGTTTTGGAGAATAGAGAGTTCATGCTCGGAGCTTGTGCGTTGTCTGCATGTGTATAAACAAAGCAACAAATGCTTGAAGCTTAAAAAAAAAATGTTGAAAGTTGAATTCAGATTGAATGAGACGATTTGATTCTGGATCAGATTTGAAAAAACAGCTATGAAACCTCAACCCTAAATTCAACTTAATTAATGCATACTGATGAAAGGAGATGTGTCATTTGTGTTTAACCTAATAGACATTAGCACACTTTGTTTGTTATTATTATCCAATTAAAAATTGATTACTGGTGATGAAATTCTGTGCTGGACAGCTTTGAATGTCACTTATAAGCTAGATAAAGCTTTAACAAGACTTGCATGAGAACTGGCATTCTCTCAGGATCAGCACGATGTGCCTGCTGTGTACAAATATGCTGTACTACTACTACTACTACTACTTCTTCTGCAACCCCAGTATATAACCTTGATAGCATGCTCGGACTACCAATGTGTACATGTTGTACAGATTGTAAAGCCCTCTGAGGCAAATGTCATTTTGGGCTACACAAATGAACTGAATTGAAAAAGTTATTGAATTGTTAGCACAAATGTAAAGGCCTTCTTGGATTTTTTTGTTTACTTTACAGACTAAATATGAAGCAAGGCACCATAGAGATACGAGTTGAATGGCACATTTGAATTGCACTAATGAACATGTCAAAACTCAAGGCCCGCGGGCCAAATCTGGCCCGCCACTTCATTTTATGTGGCCCGCGAAGGGAAAATGTTTTTAAAAAAATTTGCTGTCGAAATGGGTTTCCTTATAAAAGGCATATGATTGTCTTAAAATTAAACTCTATTATACTTCATAGTGTACACTACAGTGACCATAAACTACACCTCCCGCAATGCATGTTGAGTTTGTGACCCGCGAAATGACGGACTCCGGCCGCTAGTAGCGTTAACTAAATCGGTTTTCCAACAAATTATTGAGTTGAAAATGTTCGACAAATAATCCCAAAATGTCTAAGAAGAGGAAAATTGATACAGAGGGAAGGACATTTAATGAAAGATGGGAAAGCGAATATATGTTTGTTCTTCAAGGAGAGAAACCGGTCTGTCTTCTGTGCTATGAGGCAGTGTCGGTGATGAAGGAATACAATTTACGCTGGCATTTTGCTACCAAACACGGAGCCAAGTATGCTAAATTTAGCCTCCAAGAAAAATGTCAACTTGTCCAAAACTTAAATGGCAGACTCCAACCGCAGCAGAACATAGTCACAAAAGCTACAGCCAAAAATGATGCCGCTGTGAAAGCTAGCTTTATTGTGGCTGAAGAAATCGCCCGACCTTCCAAGTCCTTTTCAGAGGGTGCATTTTTGAAGGAGTGTATGCTCAAGGTTTGTGAGCAGGTGTGCAGGCTTTTAAAAATGTCAGTATGTCATGCAACACCATCGCAGACCGAGTTCAGGAACTAGCAGGCAATCTGACAACACAGCTAGCCGAAGAGTCGAGCAGTTACGTGGCTTTTTCATTAGCTGTTGATGAAAGCACAGACAACACGGACACAGCACAACTGTCAATTTTTGTAAGAGGCGTGAAGGCAGACTTGACTGTCAGTGAGGAGCTCTTGGATGTAGTTGCCCTGCATGGAACGACAACGGGGAGGGACATTTCTGATGCAGTGGAGAGGTCCGTAAGTAAAACTAAATTACCCTGGAAAAGTTGGTGGGGCTAACTACCGATGGCGCGCCTGCAATGTGTGGACAAAAAACAGGCTTGGTTGGACTAGTGAAGGAGAAAATGCAAAAAAGTAACTGCCACACACCTCAGATAACAAGAAGCTCTGTGTGGAAAGGTTCTGGAACTGGATAATATAATAACCATGGTCATGAAAACAGTGAACTTCATTCGGGCGTTCGGGCGAGGGGCCTGAATCACCGCCAGTTCCAGCTGTGAAGGAGTCAGGCTTGGAGCATGGAGATGTGCTGTACTATACAGAAGTAAGGTGGCTGAGTAGGAACGCGTCCTCAAACGATTTTTTGAGCTTAGGGAAGAAATTGCTGTTTTCATGCAAAGTAAAAGGAAAATCTTTGCCTGAACTGTCAGATCCAAACTGGCTGTGTGATTTTGCTATGTTGTGTGACATAACGGAGCATCTTGCCCAACTGAATCAGAGGCTGCCGGGACGCAAACAAGTCATCACAAAGATGTCCGACATGATTACAGCTTTCCAGCGTAAACTGCAGCTATGGAAGTCCCAACTGGAACAGGACAATCTTGCACACTTTCCTGTCTGACAGGAAATCTCAGCCTCAGTTCCTGGTGCTTTTTCATGTGCTCGATTGGCTACCAAAGTGAACCGGTTAATGACTGAATTTGATCGGCGCTTCTCTGATTTCAGAACACAGCGCATTGACTTTGCCATCTTTGCCAATCCTTTCACCGCCGACGTCGACAGTGCGCCCCATCTCCTTCAGATGGAGTTAATAGAGCTTCAATGCGATAGTGACCTGAGAGCAAAGTTCCAGGATGCTGCAATCGAGGATTTTTACCGTCTCCTGCCTCCTGCTTTGATGCCACAGCTCCGACTTCAAACTGCCTGTGTTCTGTCCATGTTTGGGAGCACCTATCTGTGCGAACAGATGTTTTCAATAATGAATCTAAACAAGACAAAGCACAGATCACGCATCTCCAACGACAACCTCCACGCTGTTTTACGGATTGCTACAGCACAAGACCTAAAGCCAGACATTGACAGACTGACCACGGGAAAACGGTGTCAGACATCTGGCCAGAAAACAAATGGGTAAGCATTTTTTAAAACCTGAATTGTATTAAAAATATAATAAAATGTATTTCAACCAAGAATAAGTACAGTGTAATATGTGTGAAATTGAATGGCTGTGTTTTGTTTGTTGTTATTTTCAGAACATGATCAATGGATGAGGATGGTGTGTGATATGGTGTCCTAGGGTGAGGAAGTATTTACTTGCTGTGTTCAAGGCCATGCAGCATCACCTAATCAACCTCACCCGGAACCTGAACAATATAATTATGAACTGGGACATATCTTATTGTTATTTTGAGTTATTAAATATACTACTTTGTATGAATAGCAATAACACCTAAACACAGTGTGTTTAGGTGTATGTGTTCATACAGCCAAATGTTTACTGCAATCAAAACCATCTCTCATTAGTTGGTTGTATGCCCTCTACAAGGCTGTTTCAGTTAGATGTAACATCTGTCACACATGTTCTTAGCAGCTCACAATCATTTGTGTTACCATAGTTATGTCCCTCTCAACTGTGACAAAAATGCTTTGAACAGAGTTAATAATTAAAATAACTAACTTGTGTTTGATGATATTTGTTTTTTATATTTTCTTTAAAAGTTTGATCTTTGATTTATGTTATAATAACAGAAATGTGCATATCATTTTACATTTATATAAATGCATTTACAATATGTTTACACTTGAATAAACAATAATCAAATGCAGAGAGAGTTGTTTAACAATATGTTTGGGAGTAGTTACAGTTATACAGTCTTACAGTTACATCCGGCCCTTTGAGGGAAACCATGATGCTGATGTGGCCTGGGGTGAAAATGAGTTTGACACCTCTGCACTAATGGGTCAAAGGTCGCAGGTTGAGCTATCAGCCCCTCTTTGTCACCGACTGATCCCGTGCACCCTCATGATAAAACACCAGGAGCGGACTGCTGAGGCTGGACATCATGTGGGGACAGACGCAGAATGAACTAACATGAGCTCAATAAATGATGACTCAGCCAGATGCCATTTGTCTCCTAATCACATTCCAAGCAGTGTAGCGGACAGACACACGGCCGGTGTGTGTGTAACTGCTCAGTACACACTGATGTGACCGCGGTACCTGCAGAGCAGCAAACACACAAACCTAGCTTGTTTAGTTCGCTAGCTAGCTAACACTAGGGCTAATGTCGCTTGGTTTTTAGGGTGTAGCAAATGAAGCAGTTCCTCTCTTCCTGTTGTGTAACGACAGAGGACACGGAAGCTCCAACTATATTCATATAACGTTAGTCCCGAACAGATATAACCGGTATGAAACTGGAAAGACATGCAGCCATACCGCCAGTTAGCTAGTAGGCGGTTGGCTAGCAGAGTGTAGGTTTAATATGAAGCTAACTTACCTCATACTGGATGTACTGTTTTCTCCATTCCGGGGTGATGTGAGCGGAGAGATGCTCTGTGAACTTCATCTTGACAGCTTGGTGGTTTCCCCTCTCCTGCTCTTTATATAACCAGGACCGGTAGGTCCGTTGGGCAGCGGGAGGTTTTGCCGAAACGGTTCACAAACGTTCAACACAGAAACTGTCATGCGGAGATTACGTCCGTGCTGCACGGTAAACGACAGAGAGATGCCCTTTTTGTCTTCACGTTAACCTAGCTAGCTACCGGGGCACATTCCGGCCGTGTTAGACCCACCCGAGGAAGTGCTGGTGGAGTAATGTTAACATCTCAGCTAAAGGACATGCTTAAAATGTGTTTTTATCTGTAGCGCTAATACCGCACAATAGCGGTTAGGTTTGGTAAACAGTCTCCTGTGTGCGCTAGCAGCTGGGTCTGTCTCCCCCTCTCTCTCCTCTCTCCTCTCTCCTGTTGTTCAGCCTCTACTTCTCACTCCACCTCCCGTCTCCCGCTGCCTTCAGGTACAGTTGGAAATATTAAAACAACCCAATCTTGAGCGCACATGAACATTTATTTGATGGGTGTAACGAGATGTGGCCCAACCCTCCTTCAGGAAGCGTCACCACACCGGGACGGGTCAACCAGTGTTTTTTAGACTTAATGGTGTAACAACGCGCTGGTTGTCGAAGAGGAGAGAGGAACAGTGATGCAGTCTTCGCTCACTGTATGTTCAGCACAGGAGCTGTCATTTGATGTCTTGTTTATCTCAGTTGTTTTGTTGTTCATCAGCAGATAGTGTTTTCCTCATTCAGCTTTGCTGGATTTTGTTTGTGCTTTTCAAATGATCATTTTGTCTCCGATGTTGTTCCACTGATAAGTCTAGATTTCACCATTGTATATGAATTTTAAAAAATAATACTAATGACCGATTCTTACTCCGGATAGCGGAGCTTGGCGTCAATAATATACTGCTGCGTCTTGTCTCTCTTCGATGTTCCTTTCAACTCTGTTCATATAGCTGGCATCTCAGGGAACAAACGCTGTCTTTGCTATAGCTCTGTATTCCGATGATCGGTGAATGTCACATGTGTGATGTCGCCGGCCACCTTTGGGAGAATATGACGTAGATGTAGATTGTCTTTTTGGTGAGGGGGTGAATTCAGACGGAAAGTTACCATCACCTAGCTATCCACTGGGTGTGCTTGTGCCTGACTTGCCTACAATAACCTAATGATTCTTTACAATGGATATTTTTGGGTGGAAAGTTGTCCTCAGGACATATAATAGCAAGAAACAATGAATTCATCCTATTGGGAATGACTATCACTAGTTGTATATTCAAAGCCTTTTACAAAAAACCTCATTGAAGATATTGCTTGAGATATGAAACATTTCCCATGGGGAACACTGCAAATAAACCAGTTTTATAGCCGACCTAGATTGCATTTTTGTCCTGATGATTAACTTGCTGTCCATAATCTAAATATGTTATGTCCCGAACCATAAAAATCTTACTATAACTGTGTTTGTCCCTGATATCACAGGATGTTACTAACCACCTATCCTAAAAACTGCAGCTAGTCCAAACATGAAATGTTCAGTGTTACAAGGGTCGTTTGCTGTTGGTGTACAACAGTGTTGCGCAATAGGTTCTTTGTCCCATTTTGCTACAAAATACACACAAACACACAGACGCACACAAAAACTATATCTGTTGTAAAAACAATGTATAAACTGTATCTTTATATATGGAGAGTGGAGGATGAGTTAAGGAGTCTCACAGCCAGAGGAAAGAAGCCATTCTAAAGCCTGGTGGTTCATCAGCTGATTATTCTGTATCTCTCTCCAGACAGCAGCAGGTTAACAGGTTGTAGCTATGGTGGGTTTTGCCTTTTAATATCATTCAGCTCTTAGCAGGCTCCTCTTCTCACCAATATCACTGATGCTTATGGGTATGATGTTTTGATCACCCGCTGTAGAGCCCTCCTGTCCTGTCTCGCACACACCTTCAATGTCAGTTTGTAGTGTTTCCAGTCAGGATGCTTTCTATTGCCCCTCTGTACAAGTTTACAAAAACCTGGCACATTAATTTAGCCTTCCTAAATTTTCCTAAAAAACACAGCCGTTTTTAAGCTTTCTTTACCAGGATGGAGATGTGTGATGATGACCATGTCAGGTTTGTGATGCTGATTCCGAGAACTTAAAACTGCATCTCAGCTCCATTGAAACAATCAGCTCCTTGGTTTTACTGACGCTGGAGGAATATTTCCATCAGTGTAAGTGTTTATCTGTCACACTAAACATTTTTATCATTTTTGTCATAAGATGTCTTTAGTCACACAGCAAAATGAGATAAACAGCAAGGATGACCAAAATGTCATAAAATGGATCTGTGATGTCTTTACAGAGCAATTAAATAAATACATAATTGGAATAATGATGTCAAAGACTCATCTCCTCAGGGTGAACTCTCTTTAAAAGTAATACATCTATTTTTTTTGGTAAAGATTTTGGTCCCATGCAAAAATATTTAGTGATGTAAACTTTTGGACAGGTCCATTTCTGTAAATAATTGTGATGATAATGCTCTTGTAGCTTGTTTTGGCTATTTAAATCTTATCATGAAATATTTGTTGCAAATTCAGTGTTATCTTTAAGGGGTTGTTGATAATCAAGTTAACAGCACCCTCTAGTGTTCGAACAATACATTGCATCACTACAGTTTTTTTTGGTTATTTCTAGATTGAATAACACATTTTCTTGTCTTTTAGACACTCTTTGCTGTTTTTCAGCATAATAATAAATAAGAGTTCAAATCAATTTGAATGCTATTAGAAAAACGGTGGTAGTAGCACTACTGAGGCAGTATTACCAGTAGAAGCACAACTAGTATCAATAGTGCTAGTACTAATAACAATAACTATTTATCCCCACCACTCTCAATCCCACGCCCAACCTCCTTGATCTTAGGCCTCTCGCACCCATAAGATTAAACTGAACCGCCAGATGGTTTTAATACTCAGAACCATCTGAGAAACCTTCATTGGAAACTGTTTGATAATGGGCAGGCTCTTTTAAAGAGTACTGTGGCAGATGATTGGATAAACCATCTAAAGCTTACTGCAAACCTTTCCCGTGGACACTGGATTCGTGGCCTGGAGATTTTTAATAGCAGAAACTTTTACCTTTTTTAAGTCGTGACAATTGTAAGGTCAACAGTAAAAATACAGTGTTCACATTACAAAGTAATTCACTAGGCGTGTGCGCTTGCATACATTTGGCCTTTGTGTTGTGACCTATTTGAAGCATATAAAGTTTATAGAAACATAATAGGCAATGTCTTTACCGACAGAGGGTTAGGGTTAACCCTAACCTCCCTATTTCATTTTTGTACATCCATCCATTGGCTTTTGCTTATCCGGGGCCGGGTCGCGGGGGCAGCAGGTTCAGGAGGGTGTTTCAGAAGACCCTCTTCCTAGCAATGTTTTCAAGCTCCTCCTGGGGACCCCGAGGTGTTCCCAGGCCAGACGAGATATGTAATCTCTCCAGCGTGTTCTGGGTCTACCCCGGGGCCTCTTAGCATTTGGACTTGCCTGGAAAACCTCTAAAGGGAGGTGTACTGATCAGATGCCCGAACCACCTCAGCTGGCCCTTCTCGACATGAAGCAGCAGCGGTTCTACTCCGAGCTCCCTCCGGATGTCTGAGCTCCTCACCCTACATCTAAGACTGAGCCCAGAAGCTCATTTCTGCCGCTTGTATCCGCGATCTCATTCTTTCGGTCACTTCCCAAAGCTCATGACCATAGATGAGGATTGGAACATAGATGGACTGGTAAATCAAGAGCTATGATTTCCGGCTCAGCTCCCTCTTCGCCACAACGGTTCGGTACAACGCCCCCAGCACTGCTGATGCCGCACCGAACCGCCTGTCCATCTCATGCTCCATTTTAGCCTCGCTCGTGAACAAGACCCCGGGATACTTGAACTCCCTCGCTTGGGGCAGTGACTCACAACCCGGAGGGTGCAATCCACCATTTTTCGGCAGAGAACCATGGCCTCAGACTGGGAGGTACTGACTCTAATCACACTCGGGTACTGACTCTAATCACACTCGGCTGCAAACCGCCCCAGTGCTGCTGAAGGTCACGTTCTGAAGGAGCCAATAGAACCACATCTGCTAAAAGCAGGGATGCAATTCTGCGGTCTTCAAACCGGACATTCTTCTCCCTCCAGCTGGGCCTTGAAATCCTGTCCATGGAATCACAAACAGGATTGGTGAAGAGACAACCCTGGTGGAGGCCATCACGCACTGAAAACATGCTCAACTTTGTGCGAGTATACGGACACAGCTCTCACTTTGGTCATACAAAGACCCAGTGGCAGCTGGTGGAAAGTTTTCTAGGTAGGGCCATCCAATCAATTTCAGCAAACATCCCAGTATGATTTTTTCACGGGAGTTCACGGTTAGGACCCAATAGCAAGACCATAGGAGACAGAGTAAGGTGAAACAGACTTTATTTAGCCAGAGTAAAGATGACAGGAAGGTGTGGAGCCCGTGGTCCGACACCAGAGAGTAGGCAGATCGACGGTGTGAGTCCCGTGGCTCGACACCGTGAGTAGTCCGTTAACACAACGGAGGGCAGAGCAGCGGTGTGTAGTCCGTTAACACAACGGAGGGCAGAGCGGCGGTGTGTAGTCCGTAAACACAAAGGAGGGCACGGGGGATTCCCGGACCGCCGGATACCGGAGGCAAAGATGCAACGGGGTTGAAGCGGTGAAAGACGGTACGACCTGACAACCCCAGACTGCAGGACCAGAGTTTATATAGTGCCAGGGGAAGCGTTAGTGGGACCTGAGTCTGGTGTGTCAGCCTGCAGGAGGTAATCGGCTGGAGTGGCTGCAGCTGTGTGGCCATGGGAGGTGTCTGGTCTGACAGGGATCCTGACAGATTTAATGCAAAAAATTAAGGTATCAAACACGCATTACTACTTTGCAGTTAAATACATACGGATGCCTTGAGCCTAATTTTCTACAGCTAAAAATAATTGAACCACAAATTTAATGATCACAAGAGTCACAAAGATTGTTGGTTAATGATTATTGACTGAATATGCTTAATGGTAGCTCCAAGGTCACATGTCGTGTTGTGTCTCTGTTGCTATATTGTAAGGCATTTAGACTTTGTTTCTATAAACAGACTGTCACCTTTGGCAGGGTTGCTGAGTAGGGAACCGCAATCGTATTTCACACAATACTGTTATATACTGTGCAGGCTGCAGTTGCCTCAAAATACAATATTTTATTCAAAAATGTTTCTGCGTGATTCTGAAGGATTCATATGAAAGACATGCAACTTAAAATACATTTAAGTATGTAACTGGATCAATAGAGATAAAACCATGTTGGATTACATAATCTTGTGTTGCATGAATGTGTTTGTAAGTGGTTGTGTGGATGCATTATATGCTGTATAAAAGGTAACTCTAAACTAGATTTTGTAACACAACCTAAACATTTCTGAAA